TCCCAATATCTCTTGTTATGATCAGGCGGATGAGAAGGAGCCAATGGTAGCGGCTGATCTGAACTGGATATTACTCAGATAATGGTTCCGATCTTGGATCTGATAGTGAGAGCAGAGGTGACAGCAGAGGATCTGCTAGAACTGATCATAAAGATAATATATGTGGAGATCCCAAAGGGAAGTGGAACTGGAGGTGAAATCACCATTCCTTTCTTCTCTTATTCTCTGGAGGTAAGGAAAGGCTTGCTGAAGAAGAGCTCCTCTTATTTGTTCTTGATCTTTTTTATGCATCTGAGACTGCTAAGGACTCAAGAGGGCTGGATCTGAGCCATTTCTGTGAGAGAATGAATAGGAGGATTGGAACCAGAATGTTGCACAAGAGTAGTTCTCACTGGCTATGGTTGCACTCCGTAAGCCGCAGGCTTAAGAGAAGCTTACCAAGTACTTGAAACTGGCAAATTACCATGGTTACACACTGATTCCAAAGACTTCGATGCCTGTATCTTAGCTGTGCTCACAGAATTTTTATGTGCCATAATCTTATTCGGATTCATAGACTCTGGATCTGATGAATTTTCCATTCTTGGAATAGTTCTGCTAACAGAGGTGGTTTCCATAGGTAGATTTCTCTCATCTTGTCTCAGATCTGCAGACCTGGAGATCTTCTTAGCCTCATTCTTCCCTTTCTCTGAAGGTGGCACAGCTGATGCTGCTGGAGTTGAAGATGCCCTCGGAATGGACAGAGGTCATTATGTTTCTCTTTATCTTTCTGATCTGAAGGACCTAGATCTAAGGATGGTCTGGGCTTATCCCCTGGATCTGATGTCTTGTCAGATCCCAACTGAGCTGACAATGCCTCCTGAAGGAGTACGAACAATCTATTCTGTCTCTCCTTCTTAGTTCTCGGAGTAAACGTGATGCAGATTGAGCACCTTGATGGAGAATGTCTCTCTCTGAAGTAACCAAGGCATCAGGAATGTGCATCTGAGGCCAGAAACATCTTCGGGTAGCCTAGAGACATAATGTTTGAATCCAGGGTTCTTCTTCAGCTCCACCATTTGAATTTTTCCATTAAAATTTATATTGTAGAACTAAACTACCGTACCTATGTACAGGGCCGGCTCCAGGCACCAGGCACCCAAGCTGGTGCGTGGGGCGGCACCTGGAGGGGGGCGGAGGCGCGGCGCTCCAGCCGCCGGGGAGAGCGGGGCCACAGCAGGGCTTGCCGCCCTCCCCCCCCGGCGCCCTCCCCCCGGCGCTCTGGCCGCCCTCCCCCCGGCCGCCGGGGGGAGAGCGGCGCGCCCCCCCGGGGGCCCCGCCCCCCCCCCTGGGGCCCCGGCGGCCCCCCCCCGCGGGGGGGGGGCAGTCGGAGGCTTTTTCGCCTAGGGCGGCGAGCCGGCCCTGCCTATGTAAACTAGAAACTAACTACAATCCTTAATTCTAATTTCAGAACTACTAGAGGGTTTTTAAAGCATCAGAGCAAAGGTCCAGAAAGGTTCAGAGTCCATCACTGCAGGCCGCAGGAAGGAATTGAGGTGGCTATGGATCGCCATGCCCCTTTGTATAGCCTGGCCCCTAGAATTTTCAGGAACACTGAAGCGGGGTCTGAGCACTGCTAGTTAGGTTCCATTGTCAGAGTGGCTTGGCTCATGCATTTCATGAGTGGGAATATGCAGAGGCCACTGGGAAGAGAACTATTCTTTCTTTCAGAGATTGGTTTCTTACTACACTGTATTTCTTTGGTGTATAAGGAATTATTTTATATAGTATATTTCTTTATTATTGTAAATTTATGGGTGAATGACCATACCTTTTAAAGTTTAAAGCTTCAAAAAATTTTCTGGTAATTTCCCACCATGATTAGGCTATCATTATTCCACTGGTAGCTGGAGGTTTGTTAATGCAATTCAAATTTACCTAGGAGCTAGTGGTTTGTTTGTCTCTATGCTATTCTCCTTAGAAGCTGTTTCAAAGAATAATCCCCACTTCCCATACTGCTCAGCATAGTGTGGATGATTCAGTTTTTGTATTCATTTAAAGTTACACATCTTTGTAAGAAGTTCTTTAAACCAACTGAAAATAGTTTGAGGAACTCAACTTTAGTAATCTTTATTTCATTTGTAACCCAAAATCTCAGAGCTACATTTGTGAACTCAGAAAGAAAAAAGGTAACAAAATTTCCCGATATACATCTGTAGTGTCAAAAATTCTTACTACTCTTAACATAATTGTGTTATTGGAGCAATTTGGAAAAACAGAAAACATTTGTAATTTTGGTATTGGTCTCTTTGTATTCTGATATACCATGTTTCCCTGTGTTGTGACTCTTTGCCCCTTGTCCTCAGACTACAAGAAGTTATAGTTTATAACCCACTCAAAAGTTTTTAGTTTTTCAATAGGGTAATGGTAAAGTTAGGCTTATTTTTGGGTGTTGTGTATATATTCTGGGGAAGCAGCTGCGACTCTTTTTTAACTCATTCAAATTAAGTGAGGGTGTTACCCAGGATTCTCGCAACCCAAAGCTCAGAGTAACTGTTCTCTTTGTGAGACGGTGTCAGGAACAAATCAGTGGGTGACACAGCGCATCCATCTGATTAAAGATTGGCACAAACCCAAAGTGCTTTCATCCCAAATTACTATTTTATTAGAACTCAAGCACAAAGCTATGCAAAATGTTAAAGCGCCCCCAAATAATAGTTACCCATGGTCTGAAGGGGTCTCGAGTGGTCAAATGACAAGGTTCAAGTGGCCAGTTGAGTGCCTGTCGCTTTGGATTCCAAGAGATGTCCAGAAGGACAAATCCAAATTCCTCAGACCTATCTACCCCTTTTAGGTTAGTAACTACTACAATTATATCAACAACATGTCAATCAAAGAAAAAACATTAAGCAAGCACGTTTTAAGCTGTTAGTCCTGCAGCTGTCTTTCCACACAACAACAGTCCAAAGATATAGCTAGACTTCCTGTTTTTTTAAAAGATGTAATTTCAGCACTTTCAAAAAAAGCTTTAATAGGAAGGCAAGCAGGGTCATGCCCAACTCTCGTGGTCACTCAGCCCCCACCCTCCGGCTCGTTTAGTTATGCTAAGGCTGCTACAAAGGCCTACTGGCTAGTTTTAGCTATTTTTAGCAATGAGCACATTAATTGATATTCCAGTTACTGGCAATGGCCTAAAAACATTAGGCATTCTGCTGGTTGTCAAAATGTCCCCTAACAAAGGGAACACACAAGAAAGGGCTGTTTAGTTTCAAACTGTAAATTTATAAAACAATTCTGATTTCTAAGTGAGCCTCAGGCAAAGTCTCAGAAGTTTTTAATGTAAAAGTGAGAAAAACTTTGGACCAAAATCTGCAGCCACTAAAGTCAGAATTTGGCTTTAAATTTGTATCCATCAACAGATGCAGTAGTAGTAACGGAAAAATACAAAGACCATTCAGCACAGTCATGTCACCCTGCAGTAACTTCCTTGGTTTTATTCTATCTACTTTGTCTGTTCTTTGTCTCGATAACTCCATTTATTCTGGGGCTGCTGAAGCAGGGTGAGCTTGAGCCTGAGATGGTTTTGGGGGAAAAACAGAAAAGGAAAAAAAAAACCAAGAGGGAAAGAGCAGGTTGCAGCTTCCTTCTTGGAGTGCTGCTGCAAGCAGGCTAAACAGACAGTGGTGGACACGGCTGGTGGAGTCTGGAGGGAGGTTGGCCAGCATCGGAAGAGAGGCAAGTAGTGAGTGAGGCAGCAATCAGCACAGGAAAGAAGGATTGCAGTATGTGGAGAGCCAGTGAATAGGGACCCCGGTGGCCCAGGTGTGTCTTTGAAGGGGTGCCAGAAACAGAGCTGAAATGGAATAAGGCCAGTTCAGGAGGGAGAGGAAAGACAGAGAAACTAGGAAAGTAGGGATAACCACAAAAGGAACAGTACCTAGGAAAAGGAAAGACAGAGGTATAAGGGGAAAAGAGAAAATGTTAAAAGAGGAACAGTATAGTTAAACAAGAGGAAAAATAGCTAGAGTCTCTAAGTAATCTAAGAAATTATTAGAAAAACATTGTTAGAAAACTCTGAGAAAAGTAAAGCAAGAATGAACTGTAAAGGAAATAAGCTCTAATAAAAGAAACTGTAATTAAAGAGAAACAGACTTAAAAAAATATGGAGGAAGTGAGCTGTAGTAAAAGTAAGAAAGTAGTAAGGACTGTAAAACAAAACATCCAGACAGAATCTTAAGATATATAAAGTGACGTGACAGGAATAGAGAAATTGCCAGAGAGGAAAGGGACTGTAAGCCAGAACGTAACAGAGGGATAATCAATCTTCTTCAGTCAAGAAGCCAACACATCACATCAAGGAACACATGCCTTTATTTAAGCTGGAACTCAAAACAGTAAACAAAGATTGCACAAGAGGATTGCTCAGGATATAACTAAATATCCTAAGAATTCTTCCTCCATACTCTGGGCTTCCAGAGGCTGAAAACTGAGAAACTGGAAAGTGAACTTTAACAGTGGGGTTTATGTTCCAGTGCATTGTATTTTATAATTCAAAATTCTGCTATTTCATAAACGTAAATTATTACCTATACATTTAATTATGTTCAAATAAGATAATAGTAGTTAATATACAGGTAGATAACAGTAATAGTTTATGGTGTAAGCCCAAGAAGTTCCTGCTAAAACAACTAACTCTGATTTACTGGTGATTATTTCCCACTTAATTGATTTCTTCTTTATCTCAGCTGATTGAGATAAAACATAATTTGGCCGCTAAATTGCCTCTGCTTCTCTCTATTGCTCTGATTCAGTGCACTGAATGATCCACTCCATTGAGCTCATTATACTGATTATGACATCCAGTTTTATCAGATATGTAATATGTAGCCACAGTTAAAAAATGCTGAAGACGTGTATGTTTGTGTGTGTGTGAGAGAGAGAGAGTGTGTGTGTTTGGTTGGGTTTAATTTTCAATATGTGAATTATGTACTATAATGATCTGTACTGGTTGTTTATTGCAGGCCTACAACTGTATCTTAAACTGCTTACTGCAGTGTATGAGGGGAGAGAACAATGTGTTGAAATTCTGAAGAAAGGCAACTTATTGGGTGTTGCACCGGGTGGAGCTCGAGAATCATTCTTTAGTGATGAAAACTACGGTGTCTTGTGGGGTAATCGTAAAGGTTTTGCTCAAGTGGCCATAGATGCAAAAGTGGTGAGTCGTCTCCTGCGTGTGTGATGTAAATGTGTAATCCATTGATTGTTGTGTGTTATATGGCCCTCTCTGTGCCTGAGTCATAAAGGATGCAAGTCTCTCATAGCCTCCAGCTACAGAGCCTGGTCTGACACTTTCTCAGGATGCTTAGGACTATGTTACCTCCTTGTCTCCAGCTAGAGGAAGAATTGCTTGTGCTTAACTGGATTTCAGATCTCTTACACCACCAGTTTGTTAGTCACCCAAACACTCTCCTCAGGGCAATGGGAGCCCTCACTATGGTTTGCAGGCTAACAGTAGGTGCATCCCAGTTCCCGAGCTCTTTTGAAGCATTCCCCTGTGATATCCAGCCCCTGTCACTAGCTAATGACAGTAATACCTGGTTTGCTATCATCAAGAGTACAGTGTACATGCCAACTTGTTTGAGTCAAGTGAGGATCGGCTCCTATATAACATCACAGCACTGAGATATATTTATAGTGAAAACAATCATAAGTTTATTATCCAAGATTTCAGAGAGAGTAAGGATAATGATGGAAACAGGTTACATATAAAACTAAATCCCTATATGCTTTCTAGAGACTAAACTTAACTTTAACAGGCTAACCATCTGTCTAAAAGCAGTCAATTCTCACCTAAATGTCCTTTACGGTGCTCCCAACCAGGGCAGGTTGGGATCTCATTTTCATGAATGTAATCATACTGCCCAATTATATCCTCAGATGCAGGAAAAAGAGGTGTTCTTTTGCCTTCTCCTTATATCCCTCCAAATCCATTGTTTGTCCCCAGAGTCTGGATGATCTCTCTTTTTCTCCAAGGTTTATTCCCTGGTGTGCTGACGTCATGTTAACTTCACATCCTTATGTTGACTTGGTATACAAACAGGGATTCCATTGTGTTGTTTCTAAGGATGTCAATTAATTGCAGTATACTGACGTGATAAACTAAAAAAAAATTAATCACGATTAAAAAAATTTATCTTGATTAATCACAGTTTTAATCATACTGTTAAACAATAGAATACCAACTGACATTTATTAAATATTTTTGGATGTTTTTCTACATTTTCAAATATATTGATTTCAATTACAACACAGACTACAAAGTTTACAGTGCTCACTTTATATTATTATTTATTACAAATATTTGAATTGTAAAAAAGAAAAATAAATAATATTTTTCAATTCACCTCATACAAATACCATAGTGCAATCTCTCTATTGTGAAAGTGCAATTTACAAATGTAGATTTTTTTTTTTGGTTACATAACTGCACTCAAAAACAAAACAATGTAAACTTCAGAGGCTACAAGTCCACTCAGTCCTACTTCTTGTTTAGCCAATTGCTAAGAGAAACAAGTTTGTTTACATTTACAGGAGATAATGCTGCCCGCTTCTTATTTACAATGTCACCTGAAAGTGAGAACAGGCATTTGCATGGCACTTTTGTAGCCGGCGTTGCACGGTATTTACATGCCAGATATGCTAAACATTCATATGCCCTTTCATACTTTGGCCACCATTCCAGAGGACATGCTTCCGGGCTGATGATGCTCGTTAAAAAAAAATGCGTTAATTAAATTCGTGATTGAACTCCTTGGGGGAGAATTGAATGTTTCCTGCTTTGTGTTTTACCCACATTCTGCCATATATTTCATGTTATAGTAGTCTCGGATGATGACTCAGCACATGTTGTTACTTTTAAGCACACTTTCACTGCAGATTTGACAAGCCAAAAAGAATGTACCAATGTGAGATTTCTAGAGATAGCTACTGCACTCAACCCAAGGTTTAAGAATCTGAAGTGCCTGCCAAACTCTGAGAGGGACAAGGTGTGGAGCATGTTGTCAGAAGTCTTAAAAGAGCAACACTTTGATGCGGAAACTACAGAACCTGAGCCACCAAAAAAGAAAATCAACCTTCTGCTGGTAGCATCTGACTCAGATGATGAAAATGAATGCACGTCAGTCTGCACTGCTTTGAATTGTTATTGAGCAGAACCCATCATCAGCATGGACGCATGTCCTCTGGACTGGTGGTTGAAGCATGAAGGGACATATGATTCTTTAGTGCAGGGGTGGCCAAACTGTGGCTGGCGAGCCACATGTGGCTCTTTTACCATTAAAATGCGGCTTGCAAGCCCTCCATGCGGCCCCCCACTCCACCTACCAGACTGGGAGGGGGAAGCTCAGGACCTCTGCCTTGCAGTGGGGTGGTGGGGTAAACGCTTCTGTCCAGCAGGGAAGGGGGTCTAGGGGCTTCAGCCCTGCGGGGTGCACCATCTCCCAGCAGGTGTGCCCTGGCTCTCAAACTCCTGAAGATTGTCGTATGCAGCTCGGAGGACCAGTAAATTTGGCCACCCCTGCTTTAGCGCATCTGGCACGTAAATATCTCGCGACGCCAGCTACAAGAGTGCCATGTGAATGCCTGTTCTCACTTTCAGGTGACATTGTAAACAAGAAGCTGGCAGCATTATCTCCTGCAAAAGTAAACAAACTAGTTTGTCTGAGTGATTGGCTGAACAAGAAGTAGGACTGAGTGGACTTGTAGGCGCTAAAGTTTCACATTGTTTTATTTTTAAGTGCAGTTTTTTTGTATATAATTCTACATTTGTAAGTTCAACTTTCATAATAAAGAGATTGCACTACAGTACTTGTATTAGGTGAATTGAAAAATACTATTTCTTTTGTTTTTTACAGTGCAAATATTTATAATAAAAAATAAAGTGAGCACCGTACACTTTGTATTCTGTGTTGTAATTGAAATCAATATATTTGAAAATATAGAAAACATCCAAAAATATTTAAATAAATGGTATTCTATTGTTTAACAGTGCTATTAATCGTGTGATTAATCACGATTAATTTTTTCAATCGTGCGATTAATCACAATTAATTATTTAATCGCTTGACAGCCCTAATCAGAACCCTTTTAAACAAAAACCTACATTAAAACATTTAGTCTATTGTAATCCCACAACAATGTGAAGCTTTAGCAGAAGATATATTTGGTCATCTTTTCTTCTTGCCCCCTCCCCTAATATTTGCAAGAGTTTCATAATACAAATGAGACTCTTAAATTGCATAGTCTGTGTATGTTTTCTATGGGACTTGTGCTGCATTTTTAGTATCTGCTTGCAAGATTTTGTTACCAAAATAATATCTCTATCTGGATGGTTTTTTGTCTAACTCACTAGTATTCTGACTTCTTAGGCACTGAAAAAAAAAAATTGCTGAACAGGACTCCTGAAACTGATAATTCTGATATCTGTGAAATTATTTTTTCTTCTTCTAAGTATTATTCTGTCAGTGTTGTTTTGGTGTTCATCGTGATGATAATGAATACATGTGATTTAGGTTCTAAGAACCCTCAGAAAATGGAGTCTCACCTGGTACATAACTAGCTGTAGTTTTAACTGGCAAACATGTGACTCCTTTTGAGTTTCTAGTCATGATAAATTAACAGTTTCATTTTGATTTAATGGGATGGTAAAGTTGACTATAACCACGTGATAGAGATGCAAAATGACTCTATTCAAAGCTGATGCAAGATTTAAAAGAAAAAAAATGAGGCTGAACTATTGTCCATAGTCTTACCACTTCTTTTCCTTATTTCTTAGCCCATCATCCCTTTGTTTACTCAGAATATTCGGGAAAGCTGTAGATCACTTGGAACAACATGTAAGATTTACTTCATACGTATCTTTTCAAATTCATAGAGTTTTATTTATATTTTCAAAATCAACGGTTTCTGGGAAATACTCGTCTTGCGAATTTCTTTCTAATCTTTTGTTCTCTTCTAACTCTGGTAACTGTTTCTTGTGATGTAAACTCTTCTGGGTTATCTAATCTTTATATGTATTTATTGGACTAGGTATTAATTGTCTTTTACATGGTGACTCATCTTAAACTGGTACTTGGTATGCATGAGGTAATGGAAGAGTAGATTATTATTTTCAAGATTATGTGCCCTGAATATTGTTTGACCTTCATGTTGCCTTTAACCAAATCACTTAAGATTTGTTAGTTACAATCCAGGCACCATTTTGATTCAGGGACTCTACCAGCTTCTAAGTTTATCTACTATCTCTCAAAATGTATTTTTTTTTTAATTCACAGGGTTTATTAGGTGGTTGAATGGACGTTTTCAATTGCCAGTCGTTCCTGCATATGGAGGGTTCCCAGTCAAACTTCGCACATATATTGGAGATCCCATTCCCTATGATCCAAATATAACAGTTACGGAACTAGTTGAAAAGGTAAGTTGGCTCTTCTCTTTGAAACTTCAGGGAACCTACAGTCTTAGTTTAAATGATGTTAGTTAGGTGTGAAATATTTAACATCAAATTCTGTGTCTACTGGTTTCTTATGAAGTAAAACTTTCTTACAGTACATTGGTCATCTTAAATAGTGTATTGTTATTCAATAACATATCTCTGGCTGAAATATCATTTTCTCCAGTCCAGACAACACTATCTTACACTGTTAGATTCCTCCACAGATTTGTGCATTGTTCTGTCTCATCACTATCCTCCCTGGCCCTCTCCCTCAATACTTTATACCAGAGGTTTCTGGACTGTGTTCTGTGGATCACTTGCTGTTAGTCTGTGAAGAGCTGGCTGATCACAAGGTCCTGGCTGTGGACCTTGTTTCCAGATGGTAAACTGTCTCAAAAGGAGCTAAAATACATTACATTATTTAAATTGAAGTAAATAAATAACTTTTACAAATGTGCATGAAAGGCTCTAGTGCCCTAATGTTGCCGGCACAGAGTGCCCGAGGACAGCAACAGCGGGGTCCGTTGCCCGGTGTGCGTCACGCCAATAAACACACCAGGGTGGAGAAGCAATCAAAGTTTATTTGAGATCTCAAAGTGGTGCAAGGAGACAAGCACATCTCAAATCAAGCACACCAACATAAGCAGCCTTTATCTTTTATACATTTTGCAGCTAACCCTTTCCCTTCTTCCCCCGCCCTTTCTCACCCCCCCCCTCCATTCCCACCTCTCCCCCTTTCTCCCTCTGGCTACATTACACCACCTTGGCTGTGCAGCTTGTTCTCACTGTTTCTTTCTGCAAGTAATCTTGTCCTTTAGCTAGAAGCATGTAGGTTTCCCTTATCACTACTGCTTCCCAGCTGCTGGTCTGTGAGGTTAGTAAAGTTTAACATGTAGGGGCTTTGATTCACTTTGGCCTAAAACGGGGGGGCTTCATCGACTCTCGGGTCTTCTAACCCCCCAAGTTACCTAGTGGCCTAGAGCGGGGGGGCTTCATCGACTCTCGGGTCTTCCAACCCCCCGAGTTACCTAGGGTGATGCCTAGTGACACCAACACTAACACATAATTAATATGACAACAAACCCCCAGCAGCATTAAAACAATCATTCAGAGAGGAAATCTGCCTTCCACCAACCCACAAAAGAGCTTTCCACACATTCATAGTTCTAGACAGTATACTTAGAATTATAGAATATTAGGGTTAGAAGAGACCTCAGGAGGTCATCTAGTCCAATCCCCTGCTCAAAGCAGGACCAACACCAATTAAATCATTCCAGCCAAGGCTTTGTCAAGCCGGGCCATAAAAACCTCTAAGGATGGAGATTCCGCCACCTCCCTAGGTAACCCATTCCAGTGCTTCACCACCCTCCTAGCCAGCCCTCTCCAAAAACCCCATCTAACAGATATCTGGCAGTGTGCCTAGAAAGTCACCAAATCTGTGCTATTTTTGACTGATGGAGAGCAAGTTCTGGAGTCTTAGAGCCATCACAGAGAGCATCCTGCTATCCACAACTCTCTGTCTTATAGTGAAGGGGATTCAGCTTAAGTGCCTCTGGTGACCACTGCTGTGGCACTATGGCTGGGGGAGAGAGGTAATCCCTCAGGTCAGGGCTGGCCTTACCATGAGACGAACTGAGGTGGTCACCTCAGGTGCCAGACTGGGGGGCGGGGGGCGCCACTAGGACCCAGAGTGTAGAAAATTGTGTCTATTGCTGGTGCATATGTATTCTCTCTGCTCTAGATGCACAGAGATGGTGGAGTGCTGTGCTGGAGGAAGTAGGGCACAAGAGACATAACAGGCAGGCAGGAGAAAAGGTGAGAGTGAATAACAGAAAACAGCAGGAGCTGCAGGGAGAGAGAGGAGGAGGAGCCTCTTATGTACCTCTCTAGCAGCCCCAGGAGCGTGGACTGATTAACACCAGCTTCTCAGGGAGCTTCCTGTTTCCTGCTGCTTCCCTGAACCCACTTGAGGAGAACAGGCAGTCAACTGAAGTAGTAGGAGCCAGTTAGGCCCTTAAGACACTGATATCTTCCCTCACTCAGGCCCTGCTACCAGCCTGCTTATTTGTCCCCTTCAACTGAGTGTTGAGCACCACTATAGCTAGCACAGAACAGCAGTCATGAGTGAAAGAAGAAAACGCCCCGCTGGGGCAGCATTCAGAAAAAGAAAGAAAGCAAAGGAAGCTTTTCTATCTAAGCAGGATAGATACATAGACACAAATGTTCACAGTGAGCCTTCTGGCCCCAGTGAGGATGTGAGTAGTAGTCTGAGGGACTTCCTTGTACTGCATGGGCCACAGCAAGTGAAAAACTTCATATTCCCCAAAGACAATGAAAATAGAAGTTTCCATCCAACACATTACTGCCGTGAAATCCCCAATGGTGACAAAGTGGAGAGGCCATGGCTTATGTTCTCAACAACCCAGAATGCTGGATACTGTTTTTGTTGCAAACTCTTTCAGTCTAATGTTCCAGACACATTGGGTTCTACAGGAACAAAGGTCGGAAAATCTGGCTAGAAATCTGGCATGCCATGAGAAGGCAGCAAATCACCAGAGAGCATTCCATAGGTGGAAAGAGCTTGAGATGAGACTAAGGTTAAAGGCCACCATAGATGATCAGCATCAAGAGAAGATTGCATCAGAGTCTCTTTACTGGCAAAATGTTCTGAAAAGGCTCATTGCCATTGTGAGAATGCTTGCTACCCAAAACCTAGCACTGCGTGGCACTTCAGATCATCTGTATGTGCCAAACAATGGAAACTTCCTTAAAATTGTGGAGCTGATGGCTGAGTTTGATGCTGTACTCCAGGATCATCTAAGAAGAGTCACCACCCAAGAAATGTACACACACCACTACCTTGGAAAAACAATTCATACAGAGATCATACAGTTACTGGCAACAAAAGTCAAACAGAAGATTGTGGCAGATCTGAAGTCAGAAAGATGTTACTTTGTTATTCTGGACTGCACATCTGACATCAGCCATATGGAACAAATGACTTTAATGGTGCATTTTATAACAACAACAGAACCTAGTGATAATGTCCCTGCAATGGTGACTGTCAGAGAGCATTTAGAATTTATTGACATTGATAATACTACAGGAGCTGGTATGACAAATGTGCTTCTTAAAAAGCTGGAAGATACGGGAATTGTGATAGCTGACATGAGAGGTCAGGGCTACGATAATGGTGCAAACATGAGAGGAAAGAACAGAGGAGTGCAGACACAGATCCGAGAGTTAAACCCTCGAGCTTTTTTTGTCCCATTCAGTTCTCATTCATTGACCTTGGTGGTCAGTGATGCAGCATCAGCTTCTAGTGAGGCTGCTGAATTTTTTAATGTAATTCAAAGCATCTATGTATTTTTCTCTGCATCAACTCATCGATGGCAAATTTTGAAGCAACATCTGGAAACATCCTCTCCAACACTGAAACCACTGAGTGCCACACGATGGGAAAGCCTATCAAACACCAAATTGGGAAGATACTTGCCATTATGGAGGATAATGCTATGACCAGGGCCGGCTCTAGGCACCAGCAAAGCAAGCAGGTGCTTGCGGCGGCAAATTTGCAGGGGCGCAAGAATCCAGCATGAGAGCTGAGAACCAACAGGGAGCCCTGGGAGCTGTAGTTCCTTGGTTAGCTCCCTGCCTATAGAGCCAGCCCTGGAGCAGGGAAAGAACTACATTTCCCAGCATTTCCTCGGCCACAATTAACAGGAAAGGGAGGGGGAAGGAGTGTAGAACTGAAACCTCATGCTACAGCTTGCTGTAAATGGTAGGAACAGAGCCAGCTCTAGGTTTTTTGCCGCCCCCCACCTCAGCCCTGAGCTCCCCCCGCACCCCTGTGTTGCCCCAGCCCTGGACTCTCCCCCGCCCACACCCCTTGCTGCCCCAGCTCTGGCCCCCACCTGCACCTCCCTGCTGCCCCAGCCCTGGGTTCTCCCCCCACCCGCATCTCCTGCCACCCCAGCCCTGGTCCCCACCCGCACCCCCTGCC